CGGGCATGAATAGCCCGTAAATACTGCTCTCGTAATATTATTCAGGGGGGTGGGGGAACTATCTAGTGAAAGCGCCAAGCCATTACGACTATATAGCACTCGGAAGGGATCAAGATACAGATTTGGGACGGAACGGGGGAATGGAATGGTGCCCAACCTCTTGGGCAGTTGGGGATTGAACTCGGACCTGTAGGAAACGAGACGGTCGCTCTACCATCCAGCCCAAGTGGTTAAGCGTAATATTATTAAAACAACAATTTATGCATATAATAAGAGTATTTCACACTAAAAATACTTGGCTATATCGAAATTTTTTTTAGTGAATTCCAATCTAGGAATCTCCTATGACTAAACTGTACTTTTTAATCATTTTTGTACTTACTACTTATTATTAAATTGTTAAGTACTTACTATAATAATTAAATGAATTATTTTATTTAGTATTTAAATTAAATAATAGAATAATAGGTAATAATAAATCATTGTGTAGGGGGACAGGCAGCCAGTGTATATATAAATGTTAGGCTTATACCAAGGTCCCACAAAGGTGCCAAATCAAAGACTGGGTGCTGCAGGGGTGGGCCCAAGGGGCCGCAGGCTCAAAAGGGCCACCACTTAAGGGCAATTCATGCCCGTGCCACCTTTTGGTGGTTTAATCTTCATCAATCAATCATCATCAATTTCATTTCACTTGAGAATGAACCATGGAGGTTCGAAACGTTGTGCAAATTGTATAAATAAGTGTAATACATTTTAGAGTAATTCACTTTTTTTCTTCACCTTGAAATAACGAAAATGAGTTTTGGAGAACTCCTCTTTCAGCTAAGCCCTGATGCTAGGAAAATAATTAGAGGGATAGAAGCCCTAAACCAGAAGATAGTAAATACTGAATATGCGGTCATATTCAATGAGACATGTTTAAAAGAAAACCTGCTGCCAGTATACACCAATATATATATATCTATATTCTATATATATATATATATATATATATATATATATATATATATATATATATATATATATATATATATATGAAAAATATATATATATATATATATATATATATATATATATATATATATATATATATATATATATATATATATATATATATATATATATATATATATATATGAATGTGTACGTGCAGAAATAATATTAATAAAACAATTAACATCGTGTAGTGTACTCTATATGTCAAAATATATTACTTTGAAACCCATATCATTCACTAAAAAAAAATTGGACTACTCTTTTATCACAAATTCGTTACTTTTAGACCGTCAGGTCGCTACTTTCAGCAATTTGGATCTGCCAACCCTGGCAGTGGTGCCAGACTGGGGTACTTTTGAGAGCCCCGCGCTCCCAAATTTTTAATTTCACTACTTTTTGGGCTAATTAGTTTTAGTTTAGTTCATTAATTATGCACCCCATACCCATCTTGTGGGCGGTAGTGGAAAGGGTTACAGAGGCACTTAATGGGCTCAGGGACTGAACCCCACAATTCATTTAGTTAAGCAAGTTACAATCTTGATGAGCTAGTTACAAAATTCAATATAAGTCGTCACATCAACAATGGGTTCGAGATCGACCATAAGTGGGCAAAGTCATAGTTTGTATATACAAGAGATGAAACAGAGAGTCATGAGCTAGAACGATGTGCTGAGTCCATAAGGAGGCGGAGCTTCCAGAGATACCTTCCTGTGATTGGCTGTTGCGAGGAATACCAACACTCTTCTATGAATAAAATTTATACTAAGAAATAGGTCCTTGTGCACAACAACAAGGTTGTTGTGAAAAAGAACAACAATTTCTGTTTTGCACCTGACAGAAATCTCCATCTAACTGAATAATTTACTCGAACAAGAGGGCAGAGCAGCGTATCATTATTTGTGTCACAGCAACCGCCAATAATGACGTCACAAGTTAGGTAGCCAGCCCATTTTTATATAACATCTTTTATATCCTGCAATATTTAATTATCACTATATTAATACTTTTAAATACTTAACATTTCACTTTTTAGATAGATTAAAGTTGAAGCAGAATGTCATAAGCAAGGCTGGTGTGCTGAATAAAGATGATTTATTAAGTAGATGGAGCCTTTAGCTGATCCCTTCCTGTGATTGGCTGTTGTGTGAATGTCAACGCTTATATGAATAAAATGCAAAATAAGAAATACGTCCTTTTGCTCAATAACCTTGTTGTTGTACAAAAGAACAACAATGTCTGTTTTATACAAGACAGAAATTTCCATCTAACTGAATAATGTAGACGAATAAGCGGGCGGAGGCATTGTATCACCGATATTATTTGTGTGAGGCAACTCCCACTGATGACGTCACAAGTTAGGTAGCCAGCCCATGTTTCTGTAACACTCGTTACATCCTGAAGTATTTAATTCTCACTATATTAATACTTTTAAATACTTAACATTTCACTTTTTAGATAGATTAAAGTTGAAGCAGAATGTCATAAGCAAGGCTGGTGTGCTGAATAAAGATGATTTATTAAGTGGATGGAGCCTTAAGCTGATCCCTTCCTGTGATTGGCTGTTGTGTGAATGTCAACAAAGAATGTCTACCAATGATATGCCATTTATTATGCACTCCATACCATCTGTGGGCGGAGCTAGGAACCTCCTACCCGAGCACAACAACCCGCCTTATGGGTTGCTGTTTGGCTATTTATAGTGCGTTGGAAAAAAACTAGATGGCGTTAGTGGTATTTTGTGGGGTAATTTGTTATAGGTGTAATTTGATGTCAACAGATGGCGTAAGCTGTATCTTATGGCCACTGTTGACCAGCCAGTTGATAGTGTTCTCTTGTGCCGACAGATGGCATCAGCTGTGTTATTATACTTCCGAATTCCCTTTAAACACTGATCTACAAATCCCTTGGCTTATGATAAGGTTTTATACCATTTATGATAAGTATTAGATAACTGGAGTTCCGCAATTACTTTTATTTATCAACTGTTGAGGATATCATCATATAACGTCTGGTTAGGACGTACTGCTCTCGATTGATGAAGATTAAGCCACCCAAGAGGTGGCACGGGCATGAATAGCCCGTAAATACTGCTCTCGTAATATTATTCAGGGGGGTGGGGGAACTGTCAAGTGAAAGCGCCAAGCCATTACGACTATATAGCACTCGGAAGGGATCAGGATACAGATTTGGGATGGAACGGGGGAAAGGAATAGTGCCCAACCTTATGGGCGGTCGGGGACTGAACGCGGACCTGTAGGAAACTAGACCGTCGCTCTACCGTCCAGCCCAAGTGGTTAAGCGTAATATTATTAAAACAACAATTTATGCATATAATAAGAGCATTTCACACTAAAAATACTTGGCTATATCGAAATTTGGTAGTGAATTCCAATCTAGGAATCTCCTATGACTAAACTGTACTTTTAATAATGTTTAAGTACTTACTACTTATCATTTATTTAGTAATAACTATAATAATTAAATACATTTAAATTTAATTATAAATAAATTATTATATTCAATATTGAAATCAATAATTCAATTCATTTATTAAAAAAATAATAGTTAATAATAAATCATTGTGTAGGGGGACAGGCAGCCAGTGTATATATACATGTTAGGCTGACTAAGGAAATAAAGCTGCCGAAAAAACATTAAAGTCCACTTCAAGTTCAAGTATGTTTATTGAGACAATAAAAAAATACATCTCAAAGGAATAGAGTAGCTTAGGCTATTTCTACCCCCCCCCCCCTTCTTCTTCAAGTCCCCTCAAGGGGCGCACAAATTCAGTGAGTACAAATACACAAATCACAATACAAGAATCCCATTTAACATAGCAGGTTAAAATAGGAAGCACAGCATATAAGTGTTACAAGTGAGTTACAAGTTACAAGGGAACAAATGAGAAGGCGGTGGAGACCAAAACCGGAATTGGACATTGATTTTAATGCAGATATGTCGTGATTATCATAATATTAAGATGTTAAGGCACGAAACTAGTAAGTACAAGACCAGAACCTAACGATGCCAACACAGAAGACACTGTTCAACATAACAGGTCAATTACGCCTGATTAATCTTTGTATAATAGGTGCTGCCTCGTATGGGCCAATTAATGGGCCTTCTGCAGTTACCTTTATTCTTATGTTCTTATGTGCTTCGTCCCCCATTTATCCTCTATGTATCCCCCTTGTTTTTATCTTTATCACCTGACCCCGTACGGGTATAAATCAATGAGTCCTGTAATTTCATTTCCACGGGAGACATCTCCCGTCACTCATCAACCCATACTCATCCTGTGAGTGGTAGTTTATTGTGCAACCCATGCTTATCCTGTGAGTGGTAGTTTATTGTGCAACCCATGCTTATCCTGTGAGTGGTAGTTTATTGTGCACCCCATACTCATCCTGTGAGTGGTAGTTTATTGTGCACCCCATACTCATCCTGTGAGTGGTAGTTTATTGTGCACCCCATACTCATCCTGTGAGTGGTAGTTTATTGTGCAACCCATGCTCATCCTGTGAGTGGTAGTTTATTGTGCACCCCATACTCATCCTGTGAGTGGTAGTTTATTGTGCACCCCATACTCATCCTGTGAGTGGTAGTTTATTGAGGTGTAGGTCTGTGTGTTTATGTATGGTGTGGGGTGTGTGGTTGCGGGTGTAGAGTGTGCAGGTGTGTGTGAATGTGGGTGCGGGGTGTGTGGGGTTTGGCGAAGAGTGTGTGTGTAGTGTGGAGAGTGTGTAGGTGTGGAGTGTGTAGTGTGGAGAGTGTGTAGGTGTGGAGTGTGGAGAGTGTATAGGTGTGTGGATGTGAGGTGTGTAGGTACGGGTGTGTGGGTACAGGTGTGTGGGTACAGGTAATTACCTAAGTGTAATTACCTAAGTGTAGTTACAGGATGAGAGCTACGCTCGTGGTGTCCCGTCTTCCCAGCACTCTTTGTCATATAACGCTTTGAAACGACTGACGGTCTTGGTGTGTGGGTACGGGTGTATGGTGTGTGGGTGCAGGTGTGTGGGTACAGGTGTGTGTGGGGGGGAGTTAGAGTGGGTTGGTGCGCTTGGCGAGGCTCACACAGTACAGGACTCGCATCCCTCAGTGCCGCTAGCCACGCCATCTCACGCACATCGCAATTAGCATCTTATTTCTCACAGGTAGGTGGTGGGAGTGGCGTGGGAGGGCGTGCAGCATGGGGGGCGTGTGGTGGGGGCACCGTGGGCGTGCTGGTCACCTGGGAGACGCCCACCAACACACTAATACCGCCCATCACCAGGGATGGCAGCCGCCGCCTCGGGTCACACACTTTATTTCCTGCGCATGATAGGTTTTCCCTCATATTGTGGCGTGTGGGCGTGGGTGGGATGGGCGTGGGGTGGGAGAGACGGGCGTGGGGTGGGAGAGACGGGCGTGGGGTGGGAGAGACGGGCGTGGGGTGGGAGAGATGGGCGTGGGCGTGGGAGGGACATATGAGTGAGAATAGCTGGCCCGTGAGGGGAGAGATGGGCGTAGGATGGGCGTGGGGTGGGAGAGACATATTAAAAATGTATATATTTACTAGGTGGCTTGTTACAAGGTCGCCCCATTTTGTCCTGATTTATTTTTTTTCAATCCGGATTTTAAAATTGTAATTTGGCGTTACAATTTTGGCATTTACGGGTTCGGCGGGTAGGCGGTTCCTTTGCTCCTTGTTTGTGTTAGACTTGACCTGAAGAATTCGTCTGGATCAACATCCAGAAACTTGTTCAGTATTTTGAAAGTTCAAATGACATCTGCCCTGTCATTATTTAGGTAGAGCAAGTATATAGTACATTTAAAACCACTAATATGCGCAGCGTTTTGGGCAAAATGTGGGAAAAATACTTGAAAACTATGACCTAAAATGAATTCCCTGTTTGGTTATTTGTGGACCTACGTAAGGCTTTTGATACTGTCAACCACCAAAACCTTTTTCTTAAATTACATCATTATGGAGTCAGAGGTCACTCCCTGCAATATCTTCAGTCTTACCTTACTGAAAGGGTTCAGTATGTTTCTGTGAATAATTCCATTTCTCCCACCCTACTCATCAACATTGGTGTTCCCCAGGGCAGCATACTTGGCCCTCTCCTCTTTCTCATATACATTCATTAATGACCTTCCACAGGCCTCTCAACACCTCAAACCAATTCTATTTGCTGATGACACAACTTTTTTCTCCAGTCCTGACTTGCTTGCTCTAAATGTCACAGTGAACACTGAACTAAATAAAGTCCATCTTTGGCTAACTGCTAGCAAAATTACCTTTAACATTGACAAAACTTTCTATATTTTGTTTGGTAATAAATCCTCAAATCAAATTAATATAAGAATAAACAATATCCAAATTAGCAACAAAGTAGATGGTAAATTCATTGGTGTTTCATTTATATTTTACAGTAATTCTGTATATCTTTTACATTAAAGTCTTTCAGTTTGTGTATATGGTACTATATTTTCATTCTAAAGTACAATGCTGTACCGTGCTATTTTCCAATCTGAGTGTGATCGGATTGGCGTGATCAGATCAGATTGATAGTCACTTTGGCACAGTAGTAAAACACTCGCCTGGCGTTTCGCGAACGCTTTGACCTGGGTTCGTATCCTGACCAGGGAGGATTGACTGGGAGTCAATCCTCTATTGTAGCCTCTGTTCACCCAGCAGTGAATGAGTACCTAGTTGAGTACTACTTGGCAAATTATATTCAGGGGGAAAATTAGGATTAAAGACCTGCCCAAAATGCTAGGAGTACTAGTAGCTTTCCAAGAATGTAAGAACTCTTGTATATATAAATAAAATAAAATAAAATTAAATCAAGATAGTCTTGAGCTTCAAAGGAGACCTGAACATTAAATAGTACATTGTTGATTTCCAGACTGAAAAATAACCGTTAATTTCCAAAATCAGCTGTGAATTTTCCAAACAAAAGAATCAAGCCATATTGAAATTAAAAATCCGGTCTTAACACTCATGGGTTTTCATCATGTGTTGCACTGAACACAGGTGTCATATGGCAGTCTCTGGATGTCATACAAGTACGTAGTGTAGTATAGCAATTATTATTGTTATACAGGTACACTATGTGACTATTAGAACAAACTCTGTTATAACAAATTTCCTGAAAATCCCAGTATATTTCTATTTACTGTAGTTCAATATTCCTCCATTCACCAAAAATGTGTTTTATGCAGTTTTGTTTGCCTAAGCCATAGCCATGCCTAGCTTTCTAACCTTTAGGGAGCCGATCGGCCAAGCGGACAGCACGCTGAACTTGTGATCCTGTGGGCCTGGGTTCGATCCCAGGCGCTGGCGAGAAACAATGGGCAGAGTTTCTTTCACCCTATGCCCTTGTTACCCAGCAGTAAAAAAGGTACCTGGGTGTTAGTCAGCTGTCACGGGCTGCTTCCTGGGGGTGGAGGCCTGGTCGAGGACCGGGCCGCGGGGACACTAAAAGCCCCGAAATCTTCTCAAGATAACTATCTGATGTTAATCTGCATGGGCCTGGTTGTTGTTGGTGTTCGAGTTTTTAATCTTTAATAAACTTAATTAAAAATTTTAATTAAGGGTTTGAATGAAGTCTAATTTGAAGTTGAATGAAGACTTTTGGCACTGTCACACAAGGTGACATTTGATTCTGCTGTCAACTGATAGTAGCTTTTTCTGAGTCCAGGGATCTGTTTTAGAGGTCAGAGGAGTTAACTAGCCAACCAGTGCAGTATGTGATATGAATAAGTTATAATAGGACATGCATAGTGTGTTTGAGGCTACATGTACTTTATATGAATTATTTACAGTATATGTATTGTTGTAACAATGCAGTATGTTCAGATTGGATGATCTCTCATGTTCTGTGTTGCTACTGATCAGAAAACATATACAAAAAAAAACAAATATTTTTCAGATCTACATTGGATTTAAAGTCAGCAATGTCACGTGGTAGGGAACGTGATCGTCGCCGCTCTCGTAGTCGCAGTAGGAGCAGGAGCAGGAGTAGGTAAGTCAAACGTACGGTGTAAGGAAGACACATTGTATATGAATTTATTTATTCTGTAAAATGGTTGTTTAGTTGGTGAAGTAACAGATAATGGATTGGTCTTTGTGTAGCTTTCATTAATTTTACATCCTTACTTTAGTATTGTGAGCACTTGTATAGTAAACAAAAAATAAACTTGCTCTTGTGATTTATTTATATTAGATCTGTTGGCTTTGGTCACCCATGGAAATGCCAAACGTTTTCTACATTAATTTTTCCTTGTTTTTGTTTGTTTTCACTGTTTAATTAATTATTCTTTTGTACTAGTGTGTCCCAGCTGAGGCACTTGTCAGTCTTTGTACATGCTCATATTTTTCTGTTATGTGTTGCATGCTCTGGAAGGGCAGTACTGCAGTTGGCCAAAGATGACCTTGATGAGTGTGTTTTATGGCTTCCTGTCCTTGGCAGTGGGAAACCACATTCCATCATTATTACCCTGTTTCCTTTTCCTTCCCCCATCCTTTTCAAAGGATGGGGAAAGAGGAGGAGGAGGAGGGACATTAGCTAAAATATGTTAGCTATATAGGGAATAGAAGTTTAAAATATTACGGTGCCACCCATGCATTCACGATATATTAGTACTGTACATAATACATGATGTATCATTGAGAACTACCACCACCAACACAGACCACTACCTCACCCTAATGCTTCATAATACTAGGTGTATTATGAAGCTTCATAATACCTAAATGTAGTTACAGTATGAGAGCTATACTAGTGGTGGTGTCCAGTCTTCCCAATACTCTGTCACACTACACTTAGAAACTACGGATGGTCTTGGAAACTATGGATGGTCTTGGCATACAGCACGTCACCTAACTTGGTCCACTGTTTGGAAACAAGTTTTTAATTTTTTTTGACAGCTTTGTTTTCACAAATCTTTGATCCCTGAGGTTGCAGGTTTCAAGAGTTCTTTGTCAATTTTGTTGTCAATTTCTGCTTCAGTGGACTCGTTATTTTTTATTTTGGGTTGATTTGGTTTCCCTGGTTTCCTATTCCAAGATTTATATTTCTCAGGTCATCTGTAGTGTCAATACATCAAGCCAGCCTGTGGTCTACCCTTGTGCCGGTGTTGTGTGCAATTACAGTATGCCAATCTGTAGGCAGGTTTTGCCGATATGTCATGGCCAGCTTTTTGAGCTCTGGTTTTGACAGTCGGACATGGTCTTGGAGGCTGGGTATCTTGTGATTCTCTCCAGGCCTAAGCAGCCTTGTGTAACCTTGGGTCGTGTTTGTGGTCAGTGGTCTCTTCCTCATTCTGATACCTGCGATGCTTCCTCCACCCTGGTGAGTGCCCTGTTTTCCTTCTCAATGGGTAGATAGCTTCAGGGAACCCAAGGGGCTACACCTCCCATAGAAAACAAGTGTTGGATTTAATGAAACCTCAATTTCTGGGTGAGCCCCGTTGGCTCCGTAACGCCCTCTCTTCCTAGGGTGTTGGGGGTGGTTTCCTTTATCGTAAGAACTGGTGGTGGGGTAGCTGAGTGACCCGATCTGCCTCCCCACAAATGAGGGGAAAAGGTGGGGTGAACCAGCTTGTGCTAATGTCACAAATTTTTGATCGTTTGTTTCCATTGTTGGGGAAGTTTTTTGGCTGTTTTGAGGCTGCAGTCTAGTTTTGACCAAGCAATGTTCTGATTTGTTTTGTTGACATTCTGGGTGTCTTCCCTTGGTGGTAGCAGATATGAATAAATTTACAAAAATAAAATATTTTTCATAGTGCCACGGTTCCCTAAGCCTCTCTGAGGGGGGCCAGGTTCTGGTTTGTGGTTCCCGGTAGGCCAAGAACGCCACGACTGATGGCACCTAGTAGTTTGGCATTGATTCAGTGTAATAGCTTCAGGGAGCCACTGGTGCTCACCCCAGAAATTAGTTTCATTACATTCAATGCTGGGGTTTTCACTCACTCATATTCCCCATCCCTTACCAGCCCACTCCCTGTAAATTTTTAGAGATTACATTCCTCCGTGTTTTTAAACTGATACAATCATCACTTTTATTAAGCTTTCTGGCAAATTCTTCATAATCTTCAAGATTCCTTACTTTACACTGCTAGTCAGTTATTTCTTCTTAATACTTCCTTGATCCCACAAGTGTCCTACATATCTACCTCTGCACTGATCCACTTATTACTTCCACTGATTTATATGCTAATAATTTATCTTGTACTCTCCTCATTCCAGAAAAACCTATCATGTTTACATCTATACTTCTTTTATTATTTCCACCTGTTACTGTTACTTTAATGGCTACTTTACCACCAATTCATATTCCTTCAAACTTAATGTTGGAATTGTTCCATGAGTGTTCACTCCAGTCCACTTGGGCTGGACGGTAGAGCGACGGTCTCGCTTCATGCATGTCGGCGTTCAATCCCCGACCGTCCAAGTGGTTGGGGCACCATTCCTTCCACCCCATCCCATCCTAATCCCGACCCCCTTCCAAGTGCTATATAGTCGTAATGGCTTGGTGCTTTTCCCCTGATAATTCCCTTCCACGAGTGTTCTTAGTGCGCTTCTTTTCTTCCCCAGAAGTATCTTTCCTGACTACTACAATTGTCATGATATTCAGACCTGCATGTTGTACACTCTCAGCATTTCGGAGTTTTGTCCATTCAATTTAGGCTTTAAGGTTTTTGCAATGTGCTGAAAATTCATTATAGGACCATGCCATCACTTGAAGATGTATCAAAGATGAATTTTAAGATGTATCCAAGAAATAAAGCACAGAAATATTTCCGTATTTTATTTCAAAGACAAAAATATGTATATTTTACTGTGACATCGTGCAATGTAATGTTAAAGCAAAAATTTAATTGTGAATTGTATTTAATTTCATATAATTTCAGGGGGCGCAACAGTGTTCCAAGTCGTAGAGAAGGAGTTGTATCGGATGTGACATCTGATCCAAAGACAGTTAACGCAAGAATCTTTGTTGGCCGTATCAATGTCTCCATGACAAGAGAGATGTTAGAAGAACATTTTTCACAATATGGAAAAGTGGTTGGTAAGCATTCTGCTTTTTATTTAATTTAATGTTTTTTTTCTTACAGGCGGATCATCACCACCATCATTTTTAAATTGATCTTGGAAACTTAATACTGTATACTGTATATAAATTTATATTCAATCAATTTCATCCTATTTTGGGAGAGGGAGAGAGATGGATGTGGTCTCCTTTCTTTGGATATGGCAGGTTTTTGGATAGCCTCAGGTGGACTTGTTTGTTTTCAAATTACACTAATTTGTACCTGCTGTCTTTATACTGTATGTGCCTCCATTACCTGAGAGGGAGGCATTTGTGTTGGATGCAATGCCTCGACTGGGACCAGTGGGAGACACTTTATCTCTTCTCCAGTCAGGGTTCCACTAAATGTGACAATGTGAAGCTGGTGAGGTTTATGGGCCACAGCTTGTTGGATGCAATGTGACTTGGGAACCAGGGAATCAGCTCTGGTTCCCAGTTCTTCTTTCTCATTCCCTAGTTGAGTATCTTTCCTACTGTTCTTTTTTGTCTAGGTTCAGTATCCTTTTGTAAGTTACTGCTTTTTTAACCTGTTCTCTTAGGTCTTTGGGTGTTGTGCTTTGTTTCTCCTAGATCTTTGTCCTTAGTTTTTGTTAGCTCTCACTGTTTGTAACAAGGTAGAAAAGCTCTGTGGGATGAATGGGTTTTCACTAATTTCAAGAGAATTCATTCATTTGTTTACACATACTTGGGCAGTTTATTAGATGGGGTTTGAGGCTTTGGTTACTTTTGAATCCAGCAGTGGTTTGTTTTGACTCGCTGACCTTCTGAAGGTTCTGGCGCTGGTTCCCGGTATGCTGATAGAAATTCATGGTTGATGTGACCTGGTAGATGGGAACCATCCCAGTGTATAACTTCAGGGAGCCACCTTGGCTCACCCAGAAATTGGCATATCATTACTGCACATTCATTTTTTTTTTCACTCTTAATCTACTAATTCTTCTGAGCCTTCCTGGTCACTGGATTGTGTCCTTGTTTTTCATTCCTCTTGTTTGCCTGCTCAAGATCTTTACTTTAAGGTGATGTATTTGTTGGGTCTTGCTTTTGGCTGTTGTAGGGTTGGGAACATCATGCTCTCCTTTGAATGTAGGTGTTTTGTTCTTTTAACATTGTTATATGGGTTGTTTTCTTTACTGGCAGCCTTCTTCCTTTATGGCTAAGAATGAGGTGGCAGAGTTCTGGAGGGGTCCTTTGGTTATTGAGTTTTGGTTTATTAGGCTGGGGTTGCATCACCACCTTTCTCTGGTTGTGGTAGTGCTCCATTACTTGTGCACTTTTTGTGCCCTGGCTCATGCTTTGTTAATCCAGTGTCATTTTTTGTTCTAAAGCTTGGTTGTCTCAGGTTGTCTGCTTGACGGTCAAGTTTAGCTAGCCTGCAGAGTGTCCCTGTCTAAAGGTGTCCCATAATCTATAGCCATTTCTGTTTTTCTTTGTGAATATGTTTTGTGCAGATTTAGGTTTGCGGGTTTTGGCACTTTGACTAGTGCTTGTGTGTTTGCTGGCCACACTAAGCCTGCATGGCAATGGGTCCAGTGACTCAGCACTGAATCCTTTTTGCTTCCTGACTGCTCCTCCCCTTTTTCCCCTGGTAAACACCGATTTCTTTGTGATTTGTAGTGAAGTAGTCTCTGGTTGATCCAATCAATGGCTCTGAGTTTGTCCTTCCCTTTCCAGGGTTTTCAAAGTGTAATTTTTGGGTGGTGCATGTGTGATGAACTGCTCTGACCAACTGCTCCCCAGGGCAGTTGGTCAGAGCCCTTGGGTCTGAGGGCAGCCATCTGGTGGTAGACGAGTGTAACTATCAGTTGAAACTGGCCAAGTAGTGTGCATAGTTTGGGTCTGGGTTATTAATGTTTTTCCATGCAATTGGATGTTTTGGTGCTCCCCATCTTTCTGTTAGTTTTTTACCCTTTACCGTGGGTTGATCTAGTTTTCTCAGATTCCTTAGCTGCTAGCTTTTGAGGGGCCAGGTTCTGGTCATGGTCACCAGTAAGCACTCATGACTCTCAAGGGCCTGGTGAGGTGCTTCAGGTTTTAAGGTAACCAGACAAGGAATTCAGGGAGGTTATCTTGAGATGATTTCGGGGCTTTAGTGTCCCCGCGGCCCGGTCCTCGACCAGGCCTTCACCCCCCAGGAAGCAGCCCGTGACAGCTAACACCCAGGTACCTATTTACTGCTAGGTAACAGGGGCATAGCGTGCAAGAAACTCTGCCCATTGTTTCTCGCCGGCGCCCGGGATCGAAACCAGGACCACAGGATCACAAGTCCAGCGTGCTGTCCACTCGGCCGACCGGCTCCCTCCCTTAGTACCTCCCTACCGGGAGGTACTAAAGGACCCACAAGAAGGTGCTTCACTACATTTAATACTGGACTTTTGTCAAGAATTATAATTGGCTTTCTTGTCGGTCCCATTGATCATTTGAAGGGGGATATCAAGGGGTTTCATGTGATCCCTAGGTGGTGAATTGAAGTATCCTCTCAGGGGTCTCCCTGCCTTTACAGGAAAAAAGCCATTTAAGAAAGTGCTTGTTTCAGTAGGGCTTAGTGTAGACCAGTATTTAGTGTGTTAGTTGTGGACCCATGGTCATGGCTAGGGGAGGCAACTAATGGACCAATAGAAAAGCATTTCATACTGTATTTTTGTATCTTTACATACAGTAAAGCAATTATTTTTGAACATTTATAACTAAGAAAAAACTGCTGAATAGAAGTGGAATGACTAAATTCATATTTGGTGATCTGCTAAACACTGGATCTCAGTTCACTAGGAGTGGATGTAGTTTGTTTATCTACCTCAGATTGCAGTATGTTAAATGAAATGAAATGGGGAGCCGGTCGGCCGAGCGGACAGCACGCTGGACTTGTGATCCTGTGGTCCCTGGGTCGATCCCGGGCGCCGGCGAGAAACAATGGGCATAGTTTCTTTCACCCTATGCCCCTGTTACCTAGCAGTAAAATAGGTACCTGGGTGTTAGTCAGCTGTCACGGGCTGCTTCCTGGGGGTGGAGGCCTGGTCGAGGACCAGGCAGCGGGGACACTAAAGCCCCGAAATGATCTCAAGATAACCCTGTAGAGATGCTTTTAAAAGTTCTCTATGGCATCTGTGCAATACTGTATGTTGCCATACTTGAATATGCAGGATTCCTTTAGAATTACAGCAAGTTTTACATAAGAGCTCCAGAATATTAAAAAGGCTCTTTCCATAAATTCAAAGGCAAATGTTTAAATAATCTTGCATAGTGCTATAATCCCACATATGGAAAATTTGAATAAAGATATTTTAAACCCATGATTAATATTTTCAAGTGTGTTTAATTTCTTTTTGTTTTTGTCTCTAGTGATGATTGCTTATGCCTCCAAAGTATAGAAAAATTATATTATTCCCCCTAAAACTTTGCTTTAACACTAGACAATTTAGGGAAGATATCTAAGGCAAAGGTCAAAGCAAAGATTGAGGGGAATATTATCCAATTTCTACACTTTGGCGACATAGTCAATTAGAAAATAACTTACTGCCGAGGGACAAAACTTGTGTTTCATAATGTCATTGTTACATTATCAGAGAGCTTCGTTTTTTATTACTTACTTTGTATATCTTTCTTTTCAGGAGTGTCAATCACCAGAAATAAATTTGGGTTTGTACAGTTTGCAGACGAAGAGGAAGCCACAGCCTGTCTTGATGCAGGCAACTTAGCTTACATCAAAGGCCACAGAGTAGGTGAGGCTCATACAGTACCCCAATATTAAGGGGGAACTACAATATCCTATTATCAAGGGGAACTACAATACCCCAATGTTAAAGGGCACAGAGTAGTTAAGGCAATACAGTACTCCAATATCAAGGTGAACTTCAATACCTCAATATTAACAAACTAAAATACCCCAGTATCAAGGGGGTACTGTAGGTAAGGCACTACAATACCCAAATATCAAGGGGTACAGAGTAGGTAAGGCACTACAGTACCCCAATGTAAAAGGGAACAACAATACTCCAGTATCTAAGGGCACAGTAGGGAGCATCATAGTACCACCAGTCTAGTGCATAGTGTCCAGTGGGAGCATCATAGTACCACCAGTCTAGTGCATAGTGTCCAGTGGGAGCATCATAATACCACCAGTCTAGTGCATAGTGTCCAGTGGGAGCATCATAGTACCACCAGTCTAGTGCATAGTGTCCAGTGGGAGCATCATAATACCACCAGTCTAGTGCATAGTGTCCAGTGGGAGCATCATAGTACCACCAGTCTAGTGCATAGTGTCCAGTGGGAGCATCATAATACCACCAGTCTAGTGCATAGTGTCCAGTGGGAGCATCATAATACCACCAGTCTAGTGCATAGTGTCCAGTGGGAGCATCATAATACCACCAGTCTAGTGCATAGTGTCCAAGTGAGAGTCTCCATATGTTATGAACACATCTCTTCATATTTTTAATTTTTTTCCAGATGTAAAACCAGCCAAATTTGGTGGAACAGTGGGACTAGGTCCCGTTCCTGGATCAAGACGACGCCATGACAACAGTAGAGAAAAATCCCCTATGCAAGGAAGGGGCGATGACGACTATTATAGTGACTATTATGGGTAAGTGTTTATTTGTGTATATTTATGTATCTAGGAAGAACCTTACAGTTGGTTTATCTCTTATAAGTCATGCTTTTATTCAAAACGGACACATGGTACCCTGATTCAAAACAAGACACATGGTACCCTGATTCAAAACGGACACATGGTACCCTGATTCAAAACGGACACATGGTACCCTGATTCAAAACGGACACTTGGTACCCTGATTCAAAACGGACACATGGTACCCCGATTCAAAACGGACACACAGTACCCTGATTCAAAATGGACACATGGTACCCTGATTCAAAATGGACACTTGGTACCCTGATTCAAAATGGACACATGGTACCCTGATTTAAAACGAACACATGGTACCCTGATTCAAAATGGACACTTGGTATCCTGATTCGAAACGGACACATGGTACCCTGATTCAAAACGGACACATGGTACCCTGATTCAAAACGGACACATGGTACCCTTATTCAAAACGAACACATGGTACCCTGATTCAAAACGGACACATGGTACCAGGGGCCTGCTTACCCAATAGGCCATGGCTTAGGGCCCCACAAGCACCTTGTACCAGTCTATGGGAAACTGCATTATGCATGATATAACTATGATCAATATTGTGTGTGTTATTTAAATTTGTACTATCATAATTTTATACACGTTTTATGTATACTGTTATTTTCTGGAAAAATGGATTAAAACTTGTATAAGTTTAGGAATATGGCCTCAGTGTAGTTAGAATGAGGTTTGTTAGAATGAGGACAAGCTGTATTTCAATCTTTGCCTTACTACATTATGTAAATTAAGCTTTCTCAATCTCTATTAGGAGGTTTCTAATTCCTGGGAGTCACTGTACACATTCAAGAGAATTTATATTAATTCTTTAGCATGGAGACTACAACTGAACTGCATAATCTAAGTGGGGCCTAACAGGGTCAAGATCAGTGGAAGAATAATATTAAATATATTACAGATAATATTTTTAGAACTAAATCCCAGTATCCTATTTATCTTATTCCATTTAGATTTTGCAATTTCAACATTATGTTTCAGGGGTATCTGGGAACTGTTATCATTATCTAGCTGAGAACCATACTTTTTAGGCATTAAACTGCTACCATTTTAAAAGACCTTCTGATAGATAGATATATGTATGTATGTATGTGTGTATATATATGGGAGCCGGTCGGTTGAGCGGACAGCACGCTGGACTTGTGATCCTGTGGTCCTGGGATCGATCCCGGCGCCGACGAGAAACAATGGGCAGAGTTTCTTTCACCCTATGCCCCTGTTACCTGGCAGTAAATAGGTACCTGGGTGTTAGTCAGCTGTCACGGGCTGCTTCCTGGGGGTGGAGGCCTGGTCGAGGACCGGGCCGCGGGGACACTAAAGCCCCGAAATCATCTCAAGATAACCTCAAGATGAGGTTAAATAACAGAGGTCCCAGGGCAGAGTCGTGGGGCAGTCCACTTGCATCAATTTCTCATTTAGATTTTAATTCATTTATGGCAATCTTGTTTTCTTTAAATAACCATGTCTTAACCCCCCTCTTTAGGATAATCCCTCCGCTCTACCTACTGTTGACAAGATTACTAATAGTAGTGGGTTATAGTGAGATTGCCCAATTAACATAGTTTCAGCCTACATTCCCTAATTTTTTTATTGTCTAGGGAAAGTTATATACAGTATATGAATGCACAGGACAGCAAACAGAAATTTGCACAGGTGGACACAGGTGGAAACTTAGTACCGAGATGAGCCACAGAGACATTAGAAAGAATTTTTTCAGTGTCAGAGTAGTTAATAAATGGAATGCACTAGGAAGTGATGTGGTGGAGGCTGACTCCATACACAGTTTCAAATGTAGATATGATAGAACCCAATAGGCTCAGGAACCTGTACACCAGTTGATTGACAGTTGGGAGGCGGGACCAAAGAGCCAATGCTCAACCCCCGCAAGCACAGTTAGGTGAGTACAATTAGGTGAGTAGAAATGCCTAATAATTGGGGTATGAACTTGACCAAAAATAAACAACATTCATATTGCAACATATAGAACTGTGTCCACACATCCACATTCATATATTACACTAAATCATGTGTTGTGTTAAAATTAATCTATTTTCATCTTAAATAATTAGAAGCAACTACTGTACTTAGAAATTTTAATATCATTTATAATTGTGTGAATTATCCCAGGTTTATAAAATAACATAGAAATACATTTATCAATGTTGCACAGTATACATAAGCAATGAATATATGTAAATTACAACAAACCACAAAATATATCATCGACCTTCCAAATGGATTTGGACTAAGTATTTATAATGACTTAGACTTAAATAGCAAGTAAACTACATAACTTTAAATAATTGTCAATGTGTTCTCTGAAGGAATAAGAATGTGGCACTAATTTTATATGGAGTGACATGCATCGATGTGAATACCTTGACACGTTCTCTCCCCTCGATTGGTGGAAAACACTTCAAACACTTATAAATGCAAAACTTGCCTGTTCATTTCTTGGCTCAAAAATGGTGTTCTTCAAAGTAATAGGACTCTTTTACAATGCACTAGAAAAGGCTCCTTTAAGAGCAACATTGAAATTAAATAATTGATTCATTGATTAAAACATGGGTGCTGAAAAATGTGTGTAGATTTGCATTTTTAAACAGAATGGTAGATTACTGGAGTAATTTAAATGAGAGGGTAGTGTATGATATACCCACCATAATCTTCAAAATGTATATAACACTATAGGGAAACTGGAACACAATGAGTGTAGCTCTGGTCCTGTAAATATATGTATAGTGTGTGCATATATTCTACTAGTGCATGTTAATACCACTGAAAAACAAATACTTATATGATAAAAATATGATAAGACCTTGAGTTGGTTTTGGGGCTTAGCATCCCTGCGGGAACGCTAATTTCAATTTGAACAGTGCCAATATTGAGAGAGATCCCTGATCTCTCGATATACCTGTCTAAACCACAAGTCACATGCACATACAAATTTTATATCAGCAGAACTCAAGCATGAAAGTACAGTATACATAAAATTTCTCTACATAAACAATTTTTTTTTTTTTATAGACGCAGCAGTCGTGGGGCCAGTAGAGATCGTGAACGTGATAATCGAAGTCGGGGACACTACGACGAAATGATTGACGATTATTACCGAGGCTACTACCAGCGATATGACGACGTGTATCAGCGCCCCAATCCTGCAGTCATCGATGGTCGGCCTCCACCAGTTCCTGGATACGGTGGCTACTCAGAACCAATTGATCCACTTGATCCTAACAGACCCAATGATGTGGAGATTGTTGTCCCAAATAAAATGCAGAGGTAAGGAAAGTTTTCACTTCCACAAGGTGAATGCATGTATTAAGCTAAATACTGAATTAATAAAATGGTAAATTGAAAATAAGTAGAAATGAGTAAGCAGACTTAAATTTGTATTATTAATCGTCATTTCATATTAATTGTTTACATACGTAGTTGATTTTTTCATTAAATTCTCATCTTCTTGTTGATTTTGAAAGCTCATCTTGACTGCTAACTTCATGTCATCCTATGGCGTGCACTAACCCACTTCTAGACTTTGTTGCTTATTTCTCTTCTCACTCACACTTTACATGCCTAAGTTTTCATTAGACACATCTATTTTCTTATTTAAGACATTTAGTTGAAGTTTTATTATTTATTATTTAGAGGGAACATGCTGATATGCCCTTATCCACCACTGTGTCATGTTATTTTGCTCATACTAAATGAGGATACTTAATGCAGTCACCATTAGACATTGCAGATGATATGTCAATAATGTGGCTAAAGATGTGATGACCAAAGCACACATCAGATAATGAAGGAAATGACGACATTTCAGTCTGTCGCACGACTTCATAATGGTCCAGGACGGACCTAAATGTCATAGTTTCTTCATTTTCTGTTGTGGGATTTTGGTCATCAACTCGAGACATTTGTAAATAGGCTGATTTTTAAATTTTGGATTTGACATGTACTGTATATTTTACACAGGCAATAGGTTGGTCATAAAATGTCATGTTCTTCACCTTTGAATTATTAGGACTAAGTGGAGTACATATTTGTATAACCCAATTCATTCATTTTCATTTATCAATGGTTTAGCTGAAAATTTGAATATTTCTTATATACATACCGTAGATGTTCATGTGGTATTATGGTGATCATAAATATACATATTTTATCATGATATTTATTATACATGTTTTTCCTCAAGATTTTTATTTTTTATTTTTTTTTTCATCATGAGTACTGAGTACAGCACGTTTTTATACTAATTCGTTCATATTTCCATGTATTGTAACTTTCTGAAATTAAACTGCTAGTCTGTTACATTACTTTTAACGTTGTGCATGAGCAAATTAGGTGGTCACGTGTTAATTTTTGTTGAAATTACCATGCTATAAATTTAAGCAATACATTGTATAAACCCGGATACCAAAGTCAACATTATTCTCGAGCATTCATATTATTTTGAGATGAACACCTCTAGTTCAAGTCCATGGCCCATGTATTTTCAGTGAATCCCCTCTAAACTGGACAATTCAGCCAGTCATAATTTATTCTCTGTATCCGAGAGCTCATGATAAAATACTCATACAACAAGATCTCTTTCAATTCAGCCAAAGAGTGCATTTCTTGGTCCCAATTGCCCATTCTCTATAAATTTGTCTTCTCATAACTAAACCAACAGCATTAGTTTCAGTAGCTGATGTGAATTTTTAAAAGTACCGGTATTGCATACAGTTAGTTGAGCAGTTCATGCCTAATGTTACCCAATAAACTTCACAAGCTCCAGCGTACTCCTCGGTATCAGACATACTGCTGTTGAATAACAATCTCTCTCTCTCTACAATAAAGAGCTAGACAATTGGCTATCTTAGAAATCATTAAAGATGACATACTGGTCAACTTCTTATAATTTGCAAATTGACGTTATTTACACTTTCGGGGGGGAACCCCTTGTAGCTTCCTGAAGCTACTCTTATGTAGTATCATGCTACAAGGACACATCAGTAATGGGGTTCTATGGCCTACTGAGGACCAGAGCCTGGCCCCCCTCACAAAAGGTGCTGAGAGCAGTGGCATTTATTTTTAAGTTATTCATGTATGCCACCACTGAGGAAAGCACCCAGACAGTCAACTAAAAAAAAAAAAGCTGCTGGCTTTACAGGAGATCACAGCCTTAGGAAGTGGCTATAGAACTCTCAGAATAATGTATACAAACGATCTAAATTTCATGAAACTAGTGCCAGCTCGTTCTCCCTACCTAACCCCCTTCATTTGTGGGGAGGAGGGATGTAGCCAGCTGCTACACTGTTAGTTCTCTTCTGATGTGTACCCTATTTGTCGCTCTGCCCCCAATGTGCTTTTTTATTTGTGTGTTTTACCTTATTGCTAATTCTTTACACCTTTGTGTTGTATGGGCCAGGAGTTTAGAGTGCTCCGAGCTCCATGTGCTCAGGGTTTTCTTCCCTGTGCACTCCCTAGTGCTGCCCTTGCACTGCACTAGGGAGTGCACTCCAGGGGGCCCATCTTCCATGGAGTGTTTGGGCAATCTTTCTTTAGAGGTCCTCCTCTTTCTCACCTTGGGGTAGGTCGGGCATCTTTGGCCGACTTGGGTCTTTTCCCAGGTTGGAGCATCTTGGCTGGTGGGGCACACTGGTTATTTGTGTGCTGTACTTCAGCACACTGAGGTAGGTTTTCCCAGCTGCCTTAGCTAGGCTGGATTAATTTACATAGCATTTTTAAGAGTATTGGCATAATGTCCCAGTGTCTGGGTGGCCTGGTAATTCCCCACTGGTTAGGGCGCCTGTGAGGCACCTCCGACCTTGTACCCGTTCTTGCAAGATGAGGGTTGTTCATTGTCTGTGCCACAAGGCGATGTGTATTCCGCCTGCCCCTTGCATGCTACCCGTTGAGTCGGTAACACCTTCGACTCTTCAGTCATATGGGGTATGTTCCTGTCCTGTTATTTTCCTTATTAGCCCTCCTGTTGATGCTCGAGCTTATTATGTGCCGACCATGTTTCAATCCCAGTTCCAGCCTGTCTCCTTGGAGTGGGCCGTCGAATGCTGCATCCTATGGCTTGTTGGATGTTCGGGGGGCCAGGTGAGGACCTCTTCGCGTTGGCTCATCACCTCTCTTCTGCAGCGCTGTTTCTGATGGTGGGGTCCTTGCAATGGTGACTTGGCTGGACTGGTTGAGGTGATGGTTTGTTTGTCTCTTCCCTTCAGTCCGACTGTTGCTCTTTGTCCTGGCGCATTTTGGGTCTCAATTGGGATGGTGTCCCCTCTGTTTCTCGGTGGCTGCCCCAGCTTTGGTTATGGTGCTGTTTGCTTGGTGTCTGAACCTGGTTGTTTTTTCTGCAGCTCTACCTTAGAAGTTCAGACTGGTGACATGCTTCACTGGTTCGTCTTTATCCACTCTACATGTCTGGTCTTTTGATGCATGTGTATCACTTTCTTCGGGCAATTTGGTGGCCTTGTTGGTGTCCCAAGTGCGTTTTCCTTAGGGCTGCTGTGTGGGGAGTGGCATTTGTTCGCCTCTCTCTTTCCCTTCTTGCTGTCGTTTTCTGTGCGGATCTTCCTTCTTTTCTGTCCTGACTTCTTTTGGTTGTCATCTCGTACTGTATGCTGACGCCTCATATTGTGCAATGCTGGCAGAGCCGCTGCAGCTTGTGTTCAGTTGATGCTTTCTCAGTTCTGTTTTGCATGCTGTTTCGGGTGTTGTTTCATCTCTGGCCTGTATTCACCTAGTTGTGCTTGTGAGCTCTGCACATTCGATCTGCCTCTCGACTGTCAATCAATCAATGTTTTTCTTTTCTTTTCTTCATACATCCCCTCCCCCCCCCTCCCCTTCAGGAAGCAGCCCATAACAGCTGTCTAACTCCCGGGTACCTATTTACTGCTAGGGACATCAGGGCAAAAGAAACTCTGCCTCATTTGTTTCTGCCATCACCTGGGATCGATCCCGGACCCAAGGATTACGAGTACAGAGTTCTGTCCACTCAGCTATCAGGCCCCCTGTGCTGTGCTGCCTGGGCTTGCTTGGTCTCTGGCCCACATTTTTCTTTTTCCAGTTCGTTTTGGTGTCTCCTTCAGATCAGTTTATTTCTTGGTTGTTTTATGTTGTTTGTTTCTCGTTCCCGGGTTGCTGTGCCTCGTGTTCTTTTCAGGCTCGGTATCTTTGGCACTTGCCCAGTTGGACATGTTCTTATTGGGTCAATTGGCCACCTGAGGGGTCCTTGCATTGATGGGGTTCGTTAATGTGGCTAGGGGTATTTTATCTGTTGTCATGTGGGGGGCTTGCACTGTGCACTTTGTCACTGGTTCTGCTTCATTGGCTGCCCTGTGGGTTGATTCTGTTTCTTGGGTTCCCTGTACCAAGACTTTTTCTTCTTGGGTCATTCGTAGTATTTCTTCATTGCCAGCCTGCGGTCTTTCTTCATGCCCATGGGGTTCAAAGGCTTGCTATCTTCTTGGCTATCCTAGCTACCCTGCCCTAGGCTATTGTTTGAGCATGGGGTATTTGGTTGCCTTAAGTTTGGGCGGCTTTATTTTCCTGTTGGGGTGCATGGGCCGTGGTGGCCTTGTTTGATCTTAGCTCGCCTTTTCAGCCGGACGTCTCTACATTATTGGGAGAGTTCTGTAGCTGTTTCTTGACGCTGTAGTCTGCTTTAAACCCAATAGCAGTTAGTTTTGTTTTGCTGACTTTCTGGGTGCCTTCCTTGTTGGTGGTATACATGAATAACTTGATATATATATGCCACTGCTCCCTGTGCCTTTTGTAAGGGGGGGGGGCCAGGTTCTAGGTCTGGTTCCCAGTAGGTCATAGAACTCTGTGACTGATGGGACCTTGTAATATGACACACTATCAGAAATAGTAGCTTCAGGGAGTTACTGGGGCTCGCCTAGGAATTGGTATTTCATTACATTCAACACTTTTTTTTTTGCCACATCAGTGACTTTAGTTTAATAAAATACTAGTTAAGGACAGTCATAATGTACATGTATCTAAGTATATAGTAAACTGATGATAAAATTTGGGTTTGACATATGTGTTAAGGGAAGTTATGGTTACTTTGACCATGAAGCTGAAAGTGTTCCAAATCCCACTGAAGCTCTAGACTAACAAAAATTTGTAGGGTAATGGATAAAATGTAATTTAATATTCATTAAATTGAAATCGGCTCACTGTAAAACTTTTGTAATTGGGTCCATTGAAAATGAAGCAAAAGTCAATTTGCACTTATCTCATTACAGGATGACTTAATAGTTTTCATTTAAAATATTGTTATT